TTTAATTAAAATATAAAAATTATAGTATATATAGTATATACAGTATAATTATAGTATATTATAGTAATATAATTTATATTTCACTGAATTTATAAAGCAAACCTATTATTCATCGGATATTTTAAAATTTTCATTAAAATATGAAAATTATACTATATAGCATTATCGGTTAAAAAGTGAAAAGTAGATTTTTTATTTGTACATTTCCCGTGTGCGACAAATAGGTTTAGAACCCGTCGTCTGGCGCTACTGTCGTCTCTGCTGTGACAGCAGCTAGATTGTCATCATAATCAATCATAACCTACTTAATTTGGCCGATTCATGCTTAGCGCTGTCAAAATAAAAAATTAATTTATTTAGCGTTATTTTAAATTGTCAGTAAAATGTCAAAATTACTTATAAAATCCTATTATTCATAGGCTTTGTAATGCTATTTCATACAGCTATCTCAGCAGCTCAGCGTGAGTTTAACAAATAAAATTTGTTATTAATTCATTGTGCTATTTCATATATATTGTCTTTTAGATCGAACGTTTTTAAGAAATATGGATGTAGAATTTACCGGCTTGCCGTTCGATGTGAGTATAAATAAAAATGACATATTGTGAACAATATGTTAATGTATTTCAAAAAGTTAAGCATGATGTACTCATTACTAACAGTAACATTAAACATGTTAAAGTCTCGAAACAAATAAATGTATTTATGCACTTTGTGAGTAAGAGTTTCAAATTTGTATTTTCTATTGGGTCTCTACAACGGACCACTACAATAATTAAACAATACACTATACATTTATATTTAAGATTTGCAACTTGCTTTACTGTTTAAATATTAACTAATTGTTTTAGTTAATATTGAAGCATTCATCAGGTTTTCTAATACTTAATAATTTATCAAATTTTAGATAACATTTCAAGGTGTGGCTAGTTTATGTCTGATCATGTTCAGTATCCTACAGACAGGAGGAGACTTCAAAGAAATACGGGCATGTGTGGATTTAAGCGCTAAATTATGGGAAACTAATAGGAATTTTATCCTCATTTTACAAATTTAATCACAGAGGGAAAGTAATTTCTTGCTGTTAACGTAACTTTTTGTTTATTAATTACAATGTTAATAAGATAAGATTATAAGTTTATGTACATAGTGACCATAAATAAGTTTTACAACAGTTTCAAATAAGTCATGTAAAGAATCTACTGGTTACAGGTTAATTTCAATTATTATATTCCTGATTTTAATGTTGATGTTTGTCTAGTTTCTTTATTTTGCACTAATAATATACTGAATATTCTTTAGTAACTAACTCAAAATAATTTGTGCAAATTAGATCTATTATTTACATCCAATCAGATTCCAACATACTCGTTAAGGAACATTTCTCATCCACTTAACAAAAAGAAAGATAAATCACTTTGATGTAGATCTTGTAATGTAAATGTTTTTTTTATGTACATGAATGCAGAGAAGTTTTATCATTTATTAATGCAGGAATTATTTGTGCTTGAGAATAAGACCAACTACTATATCATTTTTCCTTATATAGTATTCTGAAAATAAAAGCATAATAAACGAGTATAATTAAACTAGTTTTTAATTTTAAACTTATATACACAAAACTTTTTGATTGCTAAAATAACATTATATACACAAAATTATGTCTTATTTAAATTGATTACATTTGAAATACAATTTTAAATGCAAAATGCATAATATCACATAACATAATTATAAAGTTGCTAATATCCTAGTAAATCCAACACAAATTGAAACAACAGTTTGCCCTACGCCCCAAAACATGGCATATATAGGGTGACATTTGTAGACAAGATGTACGGTGGACAAAAGCAATCACTGCACTGCTCACCACGCCAGAAGTGATTGGAGATATTATTCCCATCAAAAGAATAAATATTGAAAAAAACTTGCCAAACTGATGCTTCCTTAGTGTAATAAATGCAAATAGAGCAGCAAATACATGAACAACTATAGATGAAATTAACGACCACAGAAATATTTGATACCACATTTCTGAAAACTGGCTCAATGGGTCAAATGATGTAAGACCAAATACATTCCACATTATTTCAGAAGGTACTATTCATTTTAAATATTTATTAAATATAAACATTTTTTGAAGATATCTTGCTGTCTTTTAGTTTGGTGTATATTGCCATCTAACATTGTTAATTATCTATGGATAATTCACGAACTTTTCTTTTCGTACATTAATACTTTATCATAGAGTATGTCATTTTCCTCCCATTATTTTTTGAATTCGTGAAATTTATTGTCATCTGCTGGAGTCTTAAAATATAGGTTAACAGCTGATTGGTAAATGATATGTCAAAACAGGAAGAAGGCAATTACATCAATAAATTCCTTGGCTTTTTAAAGCAATATGTATAATTGTCGACACAAGTACAAAATCACGTTTTATAAATAACACAAATAAAAAGTGTACTTTTGACACTCAGGTTATGGCCATTCGATAGCCATTGATAATATAGTCGTAATATATCGATATTAATATATCGATATGATTCAAATTCAAAAACTAGGTGTGTAAAATTTCACCAAGACAATATTTTACTGCTTTTTGTTCTTGGATAAAAGAAATATATTGTTTTATTTTTAAAAAAAATATATTATTTAAGAAAGGGGTTGTTCTCATGCTTATTTATCTATGGTTGTTCTTTTTGTTCTGAGCTGTGGTACTGATCTGTAATCTGTCAAATTCAAAAATTCAAATTGAAAGTGGATATGCGCATGTAACTTAACCTAAAATGTCAAATGCATTTTAATTTTTGTAATTTGTTTTATATTTTTTAGATGTTGACAAGATTTTTTTATACATATTATAATGTCACATCCACTTAGATATATTGCAAATATTCGAAATATTTCGTTATTTAGTCATGCGACTTCATTTTCGATCAGTAAATCACAATCGTTGCTAAATTTCCAAATTCATGCAGGCCTTGCCAGAAACTTTTATCTATCAAGCATTAGATTTTTGAAATTGTATTGTGACAATGAGAATGCTTTTGCGCATTCAGTGATGGAAACAAATCACCTGTATAGTAAAACGATTTTTCAAAATCAAAATGCCGTATTAGAAAATAATAGCCTCACTGAAAACAATTATCAACAATTAATAGAGGAAGATTGGGACTTAAAGCCTAGCGATGAAATTATAATAGCATTTAAAAAAATTGCAATGTTTGCCAAACATAATCATAAGAAAATATCAAGTTCAGAGTTTAATGAAATGACTAAAGCAATTATAAGTAAAATGGGTGAATGTTCCGATACACAAATTGAAGAACTGTTGTTATATCTGTCATTTTTTGAAGAAGCTGATGGCATAAAGGATTCAAACTTTTGCAGTTTATGGATCGCTCTGGATGAAGCCTGTAAATCCAGATCACATTTTTGGGATATCGACAAAATACTATTTTATTGCGATCTTTGGTATAATTTAAAGTTAGTTAGACATAGTAAATTTATTGAAGCAATTCTTACAAAAGTAGGTCGAAAAGTCAAAACGTTGACACCTCAACAGCTGACTCAGATAATGTTTTATATAAATTCATCACGCCGTCCATTGTGCACTATGATGGACTTTGAAAAAAGTTTGCACAATTGCCTTTGTGAATTATCAACTCATGAAATTGCAATAGCTGCTATGAGTTTTTTCAAAACCAAGACTCCAATACATAATCCTCATCTGCTTGAACATATTATTTATAGAACTATTGAATCTGCTGATAATATACATGAAATCGCTCTATGTGCAATATCAAAGGTATGAAATATAAATAAAAGTTGTTATTATCACAAAAGAATAATTCTCAATATTGTTTTATAGGTTATACGATATTCAATGCCAATTTCATTACAACAACCCTTATCATTTCTTCTACATAACATGGTTAAGCAAATCCCTCGCTTATCATTACTGTGTTGTGTGCATATTGCCCTTTTGGGAACTAATATACAAATGCACAATCCTAAATTAATGAATGAGATAGCTAAAAAGTGTATTGAAAATATTAGTACAATTAGACTCAAAGATATGGAGAGACTAGCCTTCGCATTTACTTTGTTTGATTACGATGATGGAGGCAATAGTATATACTTAAAAATGTTGAAGGAAATAAAAAAGCCTGAACGAGATGAAGAAATAAATAAATATCCCAGGTCTTTTGCTTGTCTTCTGTATTATTTAAGTCTCAGGAATTTATATGACTCTGATTTGTTGAATGAAGTTTTGAGCCCTTCATTTTTAACTAATACTTATGGTAATTTATCATTATAATATATGAATTATATTTTCCTGCACTTACTGATAACTATTGTAAAAAATTACAAAACAAAATATTTGGTTTTGATTCATTTTAGGAGACATCTTTTAAAATATTTCCTTAATTTTGTAAGTTTTGTTGAAGATAAATTACTAAGCATATTTTGTATTCTTCTAAGTTATGTAACTAATAGTTATCTTCTAGTGGAAAAGTTATATAATACAATTTTTAAATTTATGTAATACTTTTAATTGTATTGTTGAATTATGACCTTAAATTTTAGGTGAAGGTTATTATAATATAGGAAGAGAAATTTTATTCCTCGATTGCAGTATTGATGTGGAAATACCTTCTTATAATGGAAATAGATTAAATGGAGTAAAAAGACAAAGATTGGCAAAGAATTTACAAGAAACATTGATCTTAATGGCAAAATACATAAACCTGATTTGTTGTTTGTTGAAGTGTTAAGAAATGTGCAATCATTATATGGAAATGAAAAATATGCTGCTCATGTACATATCTTACCCCATTTTGAGAAATCTGGTAGATTTTCAACCAATATAGATAAATTAATGCGATTTAAAATAAATGCATTATTTAATTTTTAGATATTATGATTTGTTTGGATAATGATGGCGCCCCACAATCTGTTGTGTGGCAAAACTTTTATGAGGCAGGCGCTGTTCAAACTATAGATAAAACAAGTGAATTTAAATGGATAGCAATGATAATTGGAACCAAAAATCAACTTCTCTTTGGGAGCTATCAATATGCTGGACTTTTATTAACAAAGATCAGACAACTTGAAACACTAGGTTATTTACCTATAGTAGTAAGTTGCTTAAATATTTGTTTCATTTCATAAAAATGCTAATTTAATATTTAATTATTATATATTTTATTTAAAGATTCCTTGGCACGAATGGTATCAGTTAACAGATGATAAGAAGCACTTTTATTTAGAAACCAAAATAAATGAAGTAAAAAACTCTGACACCAGATATGCATTGAAGACATCGGATCATAGTCATATTTAAATTAATGGACTGAATATATAAGATGCAATAAAATATATATTAAATGTTATATAAAAAGTTTCTTTTATTTCTTTTTATTAATAAATACTTGATAAATTTAACTAAATTTTATAAAGCAAATGGGCATTTATCAAAGAAATAACAATAATAATATCTCTTATAAGATTCTAGGCTTAGGACAATCTAATTCTTTATATCATTATTACCAATAAATTGGAGTGATAATAGTGTACAATTAGCATGATTTCTCAAGAAGTTTGTTAAAATGAATATAATAGACACAATAAATTCAATCTCACACTCATTTTTTAAATAAAAAGCAAAGCGCAAATATTTGTGAATATATTCTCTCCCTTTTGTTACTTGTTGTTTTATATATTTATGTTTCTAATTTATTTTTTAAACTAAATGCTTAGAATAATTCTTTAAATTTTATTAATTTGTCAGTGCCTATAAATGAGATGTTTTTTTTTAGAAACAATATCATAAAAGCTACTATTAGCTTCTGCAATAAAAGATGTAAAAAAGTGTATTTAAAGTAACCGTTACAAAAAGCATTCATAAATCGGCCTCATATTAATAATTAGTTGTAAGTCACATTTTTCCTTAAGGCAAGACGCGTAAACTTTGCAGCTTGTATGAACTGAAAGTGCGGCCAATTAATCCAAACGATGATGAATGTTTTTATTCAACCACTTTTCGTAGGACTATAATGTTTTAGGATGTTCGTTCATATTT